CATATAAACAATCAATAATACATAATTTATTCTCTCTTTCTCTATACATTAATTCTTACATGGTATCAGAGCAGGTTTAGAACCTAGTATTTTTGCTTCACCGGCGGGCGGCAACCTCACCTTGGCGCCGCCTGGGACCTCAACCTAGTCTGCTAAAATTCTCTACACATACCTTCGCTTTCCTCTTCTCTTCCAGCACCTTCTCATACTCTTCAAGTGTCATCTCCTTATCCTCAGGTTCTTTTCCTCCAGCCTCATTTGCAGTGTTCTCCTTGTTGACATCTGTTGCATCCTCCTGAGGCTTCTCAGCACCCTGATTTGTCTCACCTTCATTGACAATTTCCTCGGTCACTTGAGCAATTTCATCAGTTGTTGTTCCCCAGTTTCTTCAACCAGCTCCTTCACGTTTGAAATCACTTCCTCGTCCAGTTCCACTGTGGCGTTCAAAATCACCACCGGAGTTTGGCTGGAATCGAAGAGTTTTGATGATTCCGGTATGCCAGACGTTCCTTCACGGTGGCGAGGAGAGTGCGAGTTGGCTTCCGATTTCAGCACTAAACTCTGCAACAAAAAAATTGATCGGCGCTCGAAGCTTCTCGAGAGGCTACCATATGGCTTCGGGGAACATCCGACGCTCACAGCGGAGGAGCCAATGTGGCTAACGCGCGCCTCTTCGGCTACGCCAGCAAGACGGCGCGTTCACGGCAACGGAAATGGGGATCTTCGTGTCTTGCTCGGTTGGAAACAGCTAGAAATCTCTCTCAGATTCTTCTCTCCCTCCGCGGCCCCTCTCACTCCCTCGGTGATAACCACATTGTTTTTCTTCTCACTACTCACCCCATGTGATCCACTCTACCACAAACAAATAAAATAATAAAATCAATCAGCAAATGCATTGAACCTCCTCGGATAACCACATTGTTTTTCTTATCACTGCTCACCCCATGTGATCCACTCTACCACAAACAAATAAAATAAATAAATCAATCAGCAAATGCATTGAACCTCCTCGGGCCACCCAATTCCTATTCTTATATTATTATATATATACTTTTCCCTTTTCACATATTTTCCACTCCACACCATCATCACATTTTCCACCGCTTAAACATTCTTTATCTTATATATATATATATATATATTGTGTTTTTTTTTTCTTTTTCTTCTTTCCACCGCCCCATTTTCCTTGAACCTCAACTTTTATCTTTCTTTAAAAACAACACAACATAAATAAATCAATAAAATAAATACATACCAAATACAAAATACACAAAAAAAAAAAAAAAAAACATTCTATTCATTCAATCTACTTTTTCTGCTCCGTCTTGTACCTTCACGCACGCATTCGGATTTGCACAATACCCTCATTTTATTCATATCGGGATCAACCCCGATCCACATTTTACACAAAAAAAAAAAAAAAAAAAAAAAAAACATCACAACAACAACAGATTTGTTTTCTTTTCTGCAGACGGCCACCCACCGACCTCACTTCTTCGCCTCTTCCGCCGGTTCTCTTCTTCTTGCCTCCGTCCTGGGCAGCCCTTGCCGGTGTTGCCTCCGTATTTCCCACTCCACTGGGCACGATCACTACTCCCTGCTCCTCCACTACAGCATATGGCGGCCCTCCAAATCGGAACATCACGGTGGCCTTCCGCTTCAGCTCCTTATTTTCCGCCTTTAGCACACTTATCTCTGCTCGCGCATCCTTATACATGCGTTGGAGCAGAGCCAGTTGGGCGTTTAACTGCTGCACCTCATTTGTCCTACTTCTGCAGCCGGTGCGACAAGTTTGTGACCACCGTCATGGTCTCCACACATGACTTCAAAGTATACTGATTGGCCTCAATATCAATTTGCACCGCCATTTTTTGCTCCACAGACCGCATCGGAAAGTTCAATGGAGCAAAACCAGTGGTGTTTGTTTAGGTTCACGGGCCACCGCACCAGTTATCTCTCTTGTTGTGACTCGTTGAGGTCGGGAAAGAGAGTGAGCAGACCACGGGAAGAAGAGGAAGAAGAGGCCATTTTCTGGGCAACAGCGTGTTACAGCGTATCTCTCTCAGAACACGAAGAGTTTTTCAGATGTTTCTCTCAGTTTTTTTGTCTCAGCCTCAGCCTCAGCCTTCGTCTTGGTTAAATAGCCAATGCAGACACGCGTATCATGCGCCGCTCGGCGCTCGACGACAACTTGGCCCGCCTTTTGATGGCACATCTTTTTATGGATTGGGCACGCCTTTTGATGGCACGCCTTTTGAAAGATTGGGCACACCTTTTGAGGGCTCGATATCTATATCCCTGTATATCTTTTGGGCAGCCTATATGCACATTCATACAGTGTCTTCTACACCGGTCAGCTTTATCAATCCCTTTGTTTCAACCTCAACTAGGTTTCTATCTCCACACCTATTTGAGTTTGAGGGGGGGTTATACATAGTATCATGTATAAGTCGCTCATGGCGCACTCCCTAAGTCGCCCCCTTGGTGCACCACCACAATCTTCTACAACGGTCCGACATGACCCCATAAACTGTCCCGACATTGATTCCGGTCAGCTGCTACAACGGTCCGACATGACCCTGTAAACTGTCTTCTACGATGGTCCGACATGACCCCGTAAACTGTCTTCTACAACGGTCCGACATGACCCCGTAAACTGTCTTCTATGATGGTCCGACATGACCCTGTAAACTGTCTTCTACAGCGGTGCGACATGACCCCGTAAACTGTCTTCTACAACGGTCCGACATGACCCCATAAACTGTCTTCTACACCGGTCTGACACGACCACACAGTGTCTGCTACAACGGTCCGACATAACCCCATAAACTGTCTTCTACACCGGTCCGACATGACCCCGTAAACTGTCCTGCTACACCGGTCCGACATGACCCCATAAACTGTCTTCTACAACGGTCTGACATGACCCCATAAACTGTCTTCTACATCGGTCTGACACGACCACACAGTGTCTGCTACATCGGTCCGGCATGACCTCGTAAACTGTCCTGCTACAACGGTCCAACACGACCATACCGTGTCTTCTACAACGGTCTGACACGACCATACAGTGTCTCCTATCCCATTTTTTATTTGTCAGCTTATTTTTCTGTTTTGTTACTCTCTCCAAACTCAAGTTGGCTAGTACCTATCCTCCTTGAGTTTGAGGGGGGCTGTTAAACCTACTCCACTAAACCTAACCCACTACACCACTACCACCTCACCTACTCCACTAAACCTAACCCACTACACCACTACCACCTCCACTTCACCTACTCCACCACTCCACCTCCACTTCACATCTCCTATATAATGTACATACAATACATCAAAACATATAAACAATCAATAATACATAATTTATTCTCTCTTTCTCTATACATTAATTCTTACACAGCTAATGAGAAGCTTGGCTTCAAAAAATGATGATGAGTCTAGATGATATATGAGTCTAGATGATAATGACTTTAAGTATACTATGTTATTGCATGTTAAAAAAATGATGCGTTATTATTGAGTCTAGATGATATATGAGTCATTAAACATATTAAATTTATACTTAGTTATATTTATGAGTTATATTGAGTCTATTTTACTGAGTTATAGACAATATATGAGTTATATTGAGTCTACTCAGTAAAATATATTAAATTCACTTTGGATGATATTTATACTTAATGATTAAGAATAGCATTTTAAGAAAATATGATTAAGAAAATATTTATACCAGCATATATTTTCTTAGTTGATGATTAAGAAAATATTCACATATATTTTCTTATCATCAATGTAAAATATTCACATTACCAGCATATATCATCCAGAGTGAAGTTCCCCTTGCACCCAATGACTACTCAGTAAAATATTTATACTTAATGACTACTCAGTAAAATATATTTATGGTAGAAATATATTAAATTCTTATAATATATTTTTAATGAGTAAAAATGTATGTTATTTTAAGTATGAATATTCATTTATTTTATTTAATGCCATTCACTTAGTTTCACATGGCTCCATGTATCCCCTTGCACCCAACAATATCACTTATTTTTTAATTGAAATCAGGAACTTGAACTTGAAACAAGAACTTTGCTCGGCTACTCGGTTAGTTAATCAGGAACTTGGAGCCATAAAAAATAAAAAGCTCGGCTGCTCGGTTAGTTTATTGCTTTGGTAACGTTTGGCTGCAGCTTCTGTTATTGCTTTGCTTTGATATTGAGCCAACTGTGTTTTCAAAGAATTATGCGCAATGTGTTTACTGAGAAGAATTTTAATTGTTCACTGTTTTCAAAGAATTCTGCTCAATGTGTTTTCAAAGCAGAATTTCTTATCACCAAAGAGTAGTTGCAAAGGATTACCAAAATCACCAAATTCTGCTCAATGTGTTTGATGTCAACTGTTTATCACCAAAATCATAAATTTTGGTTCAGCCAAAAATTCTGCTCAAGGGATTTTTTAAATTAGTTTGGTGTTATACACTAGAAAACTGGTTTCAAAAAAGGTTATTGACACATATTTGAAGAGATGTTATTGAACTACTTGATGTTATTGAAGACATTTTTGAAGACATTTTTCTAATTATTGAACTACTTGATAGTTGAAGACATTTTTTAAATTAGTTATATGGGTAATTATGCCCTAAATTTATTATTATTATTTCTTTTTTTGGAAAATATATTAACTTTTGATTTTTTAATTTTTTTTTTAAGTTATGCCCTAAATTTATTTTTTAAAATTATGCCCTAAGTTTTATATTTTAAGTTATATAGGTAATTTGCTATTTTATTTTCTAAAACAAAATACTTATATATACACATATCGAATATGTTATCACTTCTAATATATATACACTATATGGGATTCTTTTTAACTTGATATCCTAAATAAGTACAAAAGTTGTCTACCCCTTTAAATCACCACTGCAATGTTGGACACTAGAGATCCCACAACAATAAAATTGAATGAAACTTTTGTGACAACCATGCCACTCATATATCTATATTTATTACACAACAAAATTTAAAAAATTGTATATAAAATTAGGTAGGAAATTAATGAAGTGATGCAGCACGAGAGAGCATACTTCAGTGGTTTGACCTTTTGCTTGGTTTAGTTCAGCCTCTTGAATGTGTTCAACACTCCAAAAAGAAAGAAAAAAAAAAAAAAGGTGTTGTGGAGAATCCAAGCCCCCTTTTGGCTTTAGAGATGATTTTTGTATGACTCAAAATTATTGGTTTGAGATATCATATTCAAAAGAAACTTGATGATATATTTTGCTGAGTGCTTTGATTTTTGTATGTTTGTTATTTAAAATGAAATTCAGTGCTCTTAAAAAAATAGATGATCTTGACAAATCATGTGAATCTGTGAATCTTGGATTTTTTAATATTAGTTGTATTATATAAAAAGATTCTGTATATACAAATTGTGCATAAATTCAATTTTAAAAAATTTGATTTGTTTGTTTACTTAATCATCAACTAAGAAAATATTAGGTGTATTTTTTTTCTTTTTATTATAGATTTAGTATACAATAACTTTAGTTTCTGTCAGTATTTACAATTTTTTTTTTACTTGCTCTTATATTTTGATTTGCAATATTGGTGAACATTAAAAATCTTATATGTTTATTTCTTAATTTGCATTAACATTAGGGAGAGTTGTTATTTATTTGAGTTTTGTAGAGCATGTAATACAAGCAAATATGTTACAAGTTATTTAAGAAAAAAAAATTTAATATATTTACATCGTGCCTTCTGTCAATTTTGATTAAACATTGAGCAGAATTATTGTGAACCAAATTTCTCTAATAACTTTTAAACATTGAGGAAATGTGTCTCTCATCACCAAATTTTTGTCAATTTTTAATCAGAATTATTGTCAATTTTTTTAATGAAAAAAACATTAAGCAGAAATTGGTTTGCTGTTAAAAAAAAAAAAGGTTATACACATTGTGTTTACAGTCAACTGTGTATAATAGTTGGTCTGTCAATTATTGCCAATTATTTGAACTATGAAGCAGAAATTATTTGAACTAAATTTCATCAAAGAATTTTAAAAAACATTATGTGAACCAAATTTCTGTCAATTTTGATTAAACATTAACCAGAATTATTGTGAACCAAATTTCTCTCAGAACTATTAAACATTGAGGAAATGTCTCTCATCACCAAATTTCTGTCAATTTTTAATCAGAATTATTGCCAATTTTTTTAATCAAAAAAAACATTAAGCAGAAATTATTTTTTCATCAAAGAATTACTGTCAATTATTTGAACTATTAAGCACAAATTTGCTCCTTACACATAAGGTTGGTCTCAAAATTATTTGGCTATTATACACAAGAAAAACGTAATAGATCCAAAATTTTCACTAAATCAAGGATGAACAAAATTTTTTACCAAATCTCCAATAATAATACTTTTAATCTTTTCTGATAAAATTTTAAAATAGAGTATGGATAGGAGATGGTTTTCTTTCATAAAAAATAGTATAGATAGGAGATGGTTTTTAGGATAAGTTTGGAATTTTTTTGAAAAGATTTGAAGAAGACCATGAGAGTAACGATTGGAGTATTCGTATCAGATCAAACTTTTAATCAAATTTTTACTCAAATTTGATGAACAGAGAGAGAGAGAGAGAGAGAGAGAGAGAGAGAGAGAGTAAGTTAAGTAATTTACTAATCATAACCATCATGGTTTGGTTGTCCTGACTCCTTTACTTAGGGGCTTCTATTCTCCCTTTTATTTATTTATTCCTTCCAAAATAAAAACCTAGGCTTAGACGCCCATGGGATTGTTTGACAAAAAGGCATTATTCATTTCTATTCAACTTACTAAACCATCAAGCACATCACTAATCACTGGAATGCTCAGTTGAAGAACTCTACATGCTCAATTTTATTTTTCAAAAATAGATGCAATCAACCATGATTTAGTGGGTCACACATGTATGCAAGATAATAAATATTGGCACCTTTTTAAAGGATGATAAATATTTTTCATAATTTTTTTTTAATATCTAGAGCTCCTAATTAAAAGAAAAATTTCAAAGACTTGGCATTTTAACATTTATGTGTAATATGGCAAGAGAGTTTATGTTTTCTTTTTTCTTTTTTTGGCACCTTTTTAAAGGAGTATAGTATTCTATGTTGTATTTCAAAAAAATCTGGTGAATGTATATATGTGTATATTACTTTAGTTGTCTTTATGAAAAAAATGTATTAAACTTACAAGTATTTAACTTAACTCAAGTATTTAACATAATCCGTTTTGCTTTGAATCAAATTTACCAAGTATTTAACTTAACCCACAAAAATGTATTCAACATTTTATTATAAAAAGAAATGGACTGTTTTTTTTTCTTCAATTTTTTCATATTTTTGAATATCTAGAGTTCCTAATTGAAAGAAAAATTTGAAACACTTGACATTTTAACATTTATGTGTAATATGGCAAGAGAGTTTATGTTTTTTTTTTTTTGATTTTTTTTTTTTTTGCACCTTTTTAAGGGAGTATAGTATTCTATGTTATATTTCAAAAAATTCTACACAATGTATATATGTGTGTATTACTTTAGTTGTCTTCATGAAAAAAAAATGTATTAAACTTACAAGTATTTAACTTAACACAAGTATTTAACATAATCCGTTATAGATATCCTACAAGTATTTAACTTCACCAAGTATTTAACTTAACCCAAAAAAATGTATTTAACATTTTGTTATAAAAAAAAAAATTGTACCATTCAAATGTAGTATATTTGTTGTGTGATTCTAAAAAGAAAGTGACTGTTTTTTTTCATTTAATTTTTTTTTGAAAGACTTGGCATTTTAACATTTATGTGTAATATGACAAGAGATTTATGTTCCCTTTTTTTTTTCCACATTTTTAAGGGAGTATAATATTCTATGTTGCATTTCAAAAATTCTGGTCAATGCCTATGTGTGTATTACTTTAGTTGCTTGATGAAATAATTATTCATTATTGCTTATAAAATGGCTTTCTTATGTGGTGAATTTTTTTTTTTTTTTTGCATAAATTTATGTTTGGACTTTCCAAGTCATAAATGGTGAACTTCAAAATATTTATGATTATAATGGGTTTTAATTTTGGTTTTAATTTCATCTCTATAAAATTGAAGTCAGTTAAGAAAGAGAAAAGTTCAAATTCGAACAATTATTGTGCTCGAGTTTTAATTTATCATTTTAATGTGATTGTTAAAAAACGTCTATTCTAAATGCTGGGTTGACTCAAAAAATGTTAGTTTGATTATGGATTTCTCAAAGAATGTAAGGAGAGAGACCCAAACGTCACACAGGCCTTCAGCGACGCTTCAAAAACGTTGTAATAGCTTTTTAACTATTTTAAAAATATAATTATAGTGGCGTTTTGAAAAACGCCACAATAGATTTTTTTTTTTTTTTAAACTACTAATTTTGTAAGATTTAACTTTAAAAATATACCTGTAAAATAGCAATAATGAATAAAACTTTGTATAGACATGTATTTCTGTGAGATTACTATTCCCTCACATCTATAATAGTACCCAATACAACATCCTTCAAGAAAAAAATCTAATAAGTTCAATCCCAACATCATTCTACCTCTGTATGTTTTATCTTGGCCAAATGCATTTAAATTGTTTATTGATAGAACATTTCTAGAACACATCAGAGGATTTACAAAGAACCCATAAATCTCTGTTGTGTTTTATACAAGTGCATGAATCAATCACAAAAAGAAAAATAAAATAAAATCTGTCATTTCTCAAATCAATGTCTTCAATTTGGAATGTTCACCATCTCAGCTTGGCTGGAAATACTGCAAAAAAGTTCACTAATAAGAATGCAAAAAATAAAGATAAAAAAAGAAAAAAAATAACACAAAAAGTTCAGGAAGAAATTCAAGTACCTTTTTTGAATAACACAAAAACTGAATTTAATAGCATCTAACCCATTACCTGAATTGACTGCAGAATGAACATCTAAACACTCCGAATTAATCAAATACCATACCTTCAGTAGGCATGTTGTGTTAGATTCACAGAATTGCAAAACAAACCACCTGCGAAGTATATCCAGAATTTCAACTATTTCCTTTTCAATTGATGGAAGTGCCTGCAAAGTCAACATAAGCTACAAAATCACAGATTAAACTGTTTTTCAGTAACTAAACAGACAGAATCACAGATTTGAAGCTCAAATAACAAACAATCAACAATCAAATTAAACTTCATAAACACAATCATGTACATACACACACACGCACATATATATATATATATATATGCAATTTGTATAGATCAAAAAGAAAGTAGAGAAACGAAACATACCTTGAAGATCGGCGATCTCGCAGTGACAGTGAGGAACAGAACATAGCTCAAGAGGAGAATCAAACAACAGAACAGCAATTTCTGAAGGCACATGCACAAATACCCAATAAATATCTTATATTTGATTCAAAACTGTGGGCCTTTCATTTGGGATTCAAATTCCCAATAAACAACCCACATACTCTGTGCATTCTTTCCCATAACAGAATCAACTATAAAGTAGGTAAGATTCAAATTTTGTTTACTCAGATTCAGAATATGGTATCCATAAACCTAATACATGTATGTAAAGACAAACAGATACAAATATATGTCAACATTTATATATATTATAGATGCAACACAGATAAACTACAAAAGGGAAAATCAGATAAACTACAAATTTGTCTATCAGTACAACTAGATTTTCATTAAAAAGAAGAAATATGGGAGAAAGTGAAAAACATTCCAAAGCACTTACAGCAAATCTCAGAAGAAGACATGATTTTCCAACTCCAGAATCTCCAATCAGCAAAAGCTTGAACAAGTAGTCATTGCAAATGACAAAAGGAATAATAACCTTTTCATTTTAAACTCAGCTGAAAAATTACAAAATACTTAACGAGGAAATACACCTTCAACATTTAATTGAATAATATAGGCCTATGGTAAATATAAAAAAAAGAGTAATCATTTTCCACAAAACAGTTATTTCCTGTAGTGAAGGAATGCTCATTCATTAATGCAAAAGCAAATATACCAACATAAGAAAATATACTGAGCTCCAAAAGCAACCATAAGTTACTTATTTAGCAGTGGTACCAACATAAATGTGCAATGTCAATGAGGTAGTGCATTGGAAAAGTTGATGGTCAAATGCACCTGCATATATCACATATCATTTTCACTCTCCTTCTCCAGCTGAGTCTCTTTTTCAGCCCACTCACATGGATTAAATGATACAATGATCCTATTTCCACGTATTCAGTCACCATGGACAGCCGAGGAGGCTTTGTGCAGGCACCAAGGAATAAAATAACTGCAAAAAAAATGTATTATTTTCTTCATATCACTACACTACAATTATTCCAATTTTCAGCACTTTTTGTCCATCCCCATCCCCACACCGTGGCCGGTGGTGGAAGCTCCCGACGCTGCGAATCATACGCTGCCAATAGTTCTTCAACGCTTCCAAGAGGAACTAGAGACTGCAAAAGGCATACCCACAACCTCCAGTCAGAACAAAATAAATAAATAAAATATGGCACATCAGTAAAGACAAGATCTTATTAGTTCCACATCATAACTAGCATTCCACATTAGTTCCATGTTTTAAATATAAATGTCCAAAGTCGGACCTGTCGAGCTTCAAGATTTGAGACTGCCATCGCTCCAACGTATGGAAGACTTTCAATCATAGCATCAGCCAAATCTGAAATGAAAATGGCACTGCTCTAATTCCAGAATTCAACAAACCATAATTTAAATAAATTATATGTATTCTCTACCTAAACTAAACAATACTCGAAACATAATTAAAGAGGAAAAACGCCGCAAAAAGGGAAACAAATAAAGGAAGCAACAAAAGTATACCAAGGGTAAATAGAGTAAAAAGAGGATCAAAGGTTGAACAGAGGAATTTGAATTCATACCATGTCCTTTGCCCATCATATTCTGAGCAACATATTTTGAGATCTTAAAGGCTTCCAGCTAATAAGAAGATGAAAAAATTGATTTCCAAGATCAGTATTGTGCAACATAAGTTCCAAAGCATCCCCTACTAATGCAAATTTCAAAATAAAAGGGGAAACATGAAGTTCTAGTTCACCTGCTCAGTTAAAAAATTATTTAGTGAACCCATCTTCGGTGGAGATCTTCCTTGTTACCCCATCTTCGGTCGAGATCGTGAATCCATTGTGATCCACATGTTTGAGATTTTCCACAGAGACTGAACCGCAGAGAGTGTAAAATGATGGAGACGTGCTCTTTCTCCTTGAAACAAAGGGAGTGGCCATGTGAACAATAATGAGAGCAGCTGACCTTGACATGGCAATCTAACACAGAGTTGGGCCATCAAATTATAAAATAGTCCAAACATAGCAAAGTAGTCTGAACAAAATATGAGGGAAAAATGGGAATAAAAAAAGATAGCTATAAATTACTGTAGCAATATGTAACTCTCTCTCATATTATAGTAGTAAACATATAAATCTATGCATGTGGTATATGTGATTAACAATTTTATTGTTTTCTTGTCAACCTTAATTACAACTAATGCTATCTATGACAAATATTTTTCAAAAGTTTAAGGTTGTACTACTATTAGAGATGAAGAAAGTTGTCAATCCTCTCACACGAGGTGGGTCTCACCATATATAAGAGAGTTGTTTCCAATTCTGTGATTAGATTATGAACATGTAAAAGAATTGATACTAACAGCATGAGTTTAAACTTCCTAATTAACTTAACACATTCCTAAAATAAAGCTATTTAATAAAAAAGGATTGCCATCAAATGCATAAAATGATTTTCAAATAAACTACTAATTTAGAAGACAAAAAGGAGATGGAAAAGGAATACAAACTTTTTTTTGCACAAGGTAGGTTGTTAGCAAATGAGTAGGAATACAACCTACAGCAGATAATTAAGCCACCAAAAAAAAAAGGGCATCATTGAGCCTTGATTTCAACTTCACTGCAATGCCTCCATCACAAATCAAATATATTGACATGCTAAAGAAAAATATGTTTCTAACATTGAAAACTTGCTAGTTTAGTGCTTCGTTTTGTTGCCCCGTTTATTTTCAGTTCCAGACTTCACTTTATCAAAATTGATAGTTTAGACTTCCATAATCTAATTCAATTCTACAAACAAAATGAGAAAGATATAATACATATAAAAAGAGTCCTTGCAATACCTGCAGCCATGTTAGGCTAACTTGCACCGCAAGACTGGAGGTGGACAGTACTTTCCACAATGCCATTGTACCAAGTCACAGTTACACTCTAATTAAGAACCAAGAAACAATGAGACTTGACCCTCTTGCAAGATCAAGTGCTAGTTGAATGACTACTTTGAAAGCTAGTTTCCTTCTTCTGTTTTTGATAAGGAAAGATTTTAGTGCACCCCCAGGAAGATATTCAACAACAACACAACAAACATTTCTCGGCATGTCAACGTGACCAGTGTCTGTCTGTATGTTTAGCTCAGACGTACCCATTGTAGCACCTATGAACTGAAAAAGTGATCCAGCATGAAAATGGTGAGGGCGTTTTCCAAGAGAATAAACAAAAAATGAAAACATATATGAATCTATTCCTAGCAGACATGATTGCTAATTAACACAACTCTTCTCTTTCAATATGACTTGATAACCAAATTTTGCAATAAGGTGAAATTCAACCACATAAAATGAGATCTTCACTGATAGACATCAATTTTTTCAAAATAAAGGGAATCTACATTTCATAGACATAAATTTGTCAGCATTTCCACTACGCATTTGTTGAGTCCTAGCAGTCATGGAAGCAAAATGAATAATTAACTAGGTAATATACACCACAAAGAAGAATGATTGACATTCTGAAATTCAGCAATTAGGAAAATAATAGACATTTTGATTCTGTAGCAATCTATGTAGTATATTTTTTTGTACACTCGTTAAAACCTATTCTCTAGCCTAGATCTAAGGGGAAAGGGAAATGGAAAGGGAATCACCCCAACGCGCTACTCGTTTTCCCTGTTTTCCAACAAAAACAAGAAATGAAAATCATACGAATGGGCATTTGAATAAGCTTCCTTGATAGTAAAAGAAACACAAACTGAGAGTGCAGGGCATAAAGTATAAACTAAAAATTCAGAGCTAAGCACTCTCTTCCCTGCTCTTTTCAAATAAAAATTCCCCTTTTAAGGTGTAGGTTTGGCTTTACAGGCAATACCATAATCACCCTAATCCAAAAGCAAACAATATCTTAACCTGTCTTTTACCACTAACCATTTTGTGTCCCTCATGTTACTCAACCATGACTTGTGTAGCTTATCATAATGTGGATGATTAAAGTGCAATATTTCAATAACAATGTGTACCTGACTTTCTTTAGCCAAAGGCTACGGTGGGCCGCAGAAGTGGGGAAGACAGCCTTGTCAATTCTTGTCGGATGGACGGCGGTGCCTCACCCACTAATTTCTTGAATGACATTAAGAGATTAAATTAAGATATCAGACAAACAAAGGCTTGTATATTTGACAAATTTAATACTGCTAAATCTGCATAAGATCCATAGTTTCTAAGTAAATATTTTCATACAACTCTAAGTAAATAGCTGCATAAGATCCATAGTTTCTATGTAACTATAAAAATAATCTATTTGCAGCACTACAAAATCTATTTGTCATTATTATCTCAGAAGGGATCTATCAAACAACCGTCTCGCGGGAACAATTCCACATATAGAAATTCTCATTTCTTTTCACTATTTTCACTATGCATTCACTCAAATTTTAGCAGATTGTAAAACTTAAATTTTACTTTTCCTTTTTTAATATGCTCCGTTTTTTCTTTCCTGGCTTTTGGTACTAAATTAGAGGCATACTGTAGGAACCATACAACTTAGCAGTTAGAATAATTTAATTTAACAATTTTGCAAGGTTTTACTATTATTTTTTTTATTAAATTTTTTTTTACTAATATGTTAAGTTCAATGAGGTAAGCATCATAATTTGTGTTTTTACAGTTAGGCATCATCAATATTCATAGAGAAACAGTCATTATCTTATCGTCATGATGCTTCCAAACGGGCATCAAAAGCATATATTATACACAGGTTTCAAAATTCACCAACTCAAAAAACAAAGAGAGACACTTCCTGTCTAGACCTGCCATAATAATTTGAGTGAATGCATATTAGTACCTGTTCTTCATAAGCAACAGCCTTTTCAGGGGAAAAAATTGAAAATAAATCAATTATATTATCTAAGGACAGCAAATATGATCTAGACTTCCACTCATGGGCATCAAAATAGTTCCAACAACAAATTGCTACAGGTAGATAGTCTGAAATTCACCTTTACAATTGTATCAACTTCAAATTCTTCTCGCCATTTAAGATATTGTAAAAACATATCTTTTGCTTTCATCAGATCAAAATCCCTCATTCGCAAAAATCTGACATGACATCATGGAAGAAAACCACTGTAAATATATGTAATAGTAAAATTACTCCAAACAGAACATCATCTTTGCCCGATTCACACTTCACCACACAGTACTCAAACAATGCTACATAAAGAGCTTAACAAACTTCATTGAAACTACTTCATCCCAAAAGGAGGCTAATTATTTATGTATGTAAAAATGTCACAGCAGAAACATACCGTAAAAGTGTGTGGTAATCACACTGTGTTTCCCTGGCAGATGGCCCTCGAGCAAAAGCAATTCACGGAAAGATTGAACAATTTGATCATCTTTTGGATCACGAGCTTCTTTGGGAACTGCTAGCAAGCTTTGGCTCTTTCTAATTCTCTTTAGTGAATCCCGAATCTTGAGTGGGTAAGACAACATGGACTTGCAATTTAAGTTTAATGAAGACAATTTCTTGTACTCCTTTTGAGGAGGTAAATTCCAATGGCTTTCTATAGGTGGATAGATAGATTTAGCTTTCTCTTTAGCAGAATTAGTATCCTCAAAACTAGAGGACTGCTTGCTCCCCACATAACTTTTTGATAAAACTATTTCCTTATTTCTCTCCCTTGAATTATGCATATGTACTTATCAAAGCTATCGAGGAAAGAAAAAGAATGAGAATTTCTTCTTTCACATCCAATCCTATTGTACCCAAATCATGTTCTTGCTTAGAAATTATCTATAACCAACATTTCAAAGTTATGTAATGGAAACATGCAAGAGCAGAATCTATAGCAACAAGAACACAACAACTCCCTTCTAGAACTCTGTTGAATCCGAAGAATACCTGAATATAATAATAGAAGGTAAAGAAAACTGTCAAAAAAATTCTGATATGACTATTTCCCTAAATTTATTCTTTGATTTATGCATATGCATATGCACATATAAAACGGACAATAACTTCTTCTTCTAAATCCAATCTTTCCATACCCAGATCAAGTTTATTTATTTATTTATTTATTAAATGACCTAGATTACAAAAAAATAATAACACTCTTGTTACATAGTACCTAATGTACAGAACAATATTACACAATAAAAGAGTTACAATTTTATATTAAAAAAATAATATTTAAAAGGGAAAAAACCACTTAATATTAATCCTTAATTCCTATTTAAAGGGAAAAAATAATATTTAAAAGGGAAAGAAATTGAAGGCACCTTTCCCACCAGTGAAGAGATTGAACTGTTCAATGGCTTGACGGATGAACATTTCAACTCCACTGACAATGATGGCTCCAGCAGCCTCAGCTTCTTTTAACAGGGTGGTTTTTCTAGGCATGTAAACGGCATCAAAGACAACTTTGTAATCACCCAAAGTCCCCTAAAAAATGAAATACCAAGTGTTAATTACAATGCCCGAGTCAAAAATGTTGTTTGGTTGGAATGAAAATATGGGGAGGGCCCTTGGCCACAGGAATTCGATCTGTATTTGGATGCATTCCCAATGGTGAAAATATGAGAAACAATTCTAAAAAATGTCATGCAATTACAAGGTCACGTGTCCTTGTTGAGTGAGCTGCCACAAACTGAATTTTCATAGTTTGAAGACCTCACTTGCAAGGTTAAGTGGTACCAAAAACAAAAAATGTGTTAAAATAATGAAATAAAACAAGGTACAAGGTATTAAAATACAAATTACAATAGCAATCAATATTCAATAGTACTTTGTCTTCTAATATTTGCAAGAACTGCTTCAGTTAGACAAAAACCCAAACACGTGCAAAGCGAAATGAATAAGAATGTACAACCCATGGTGATGACAAAGTATTTTACATAAAAACCAATGAAATTGCAAGTCCTTTTAAGTGTGATGAATCAGAATCACACAATCATAAAAAATAAAAATAATAAAAAAAAACATGTAATGCAAACCTCTTCTTTTTTTTTTTCTTTTTTTTTTTTATACTTTGGTCCAATTTCTTTTTTTCCTGAGTAAATTACAAATTTCACCATCAAATTTTGATCCTTTAACTTTTAATTATAACAATTAAAATTTTAAATTTTAATATAAATTCAATGTAATCGTTCTATTTCTTTACGTTTTAAAAATTAATTGAAAATTATTAAAACATAACAAGTTAAAGTAAAAATTGAAAAGTGATGAAATACTAGAGTGTTCAAATAGATAAAGAAGTTTCAAACTCACTCACCAATCGTTCTATTTCTATACTGTTTTGACATTTTCTATAAAATGTAATAGAGTGACAAAGATAATGAGCTTCAATCAAAAACAGAGAGACAGAGGTCCAAATCTCATAGAGCAATGAAGAGAATATGTGAAATTCGATCGGAAAGATTGAGAAAGTAGATTTCATATTACCATAATAGCAGATCGGAGAGACAGAGAGAACAGATCTGAGAATAAGATTTACATCTCTAAGTCGTTGAGCTTGCTTCGACTCACTGTTGGTAACGATCCAGATCCAACGCTACTTGCTATTCTGTACGTGATCAGAGACATTAACATGGCACTCAAAACCCTAGAAAAATCGATTTGAAAAGAGAAAATACAAAATAGAAGAAAAGAAATTAGAAATCTAACTATAAATCGTTAGTTTAAGCTATGAAAGTCTACAGATCTTGTGTGAATATAGCAAATCCATATCAAAAAACTCTAACCTTGAGCCCTAGATCGACTTAGATAAGAGGGATTCAAACGATATTACAGACAAACGCTCAAATCAAGTGCAGAACAAGCATTTCCAGATCATACAACCAAAGAATCAATGGAGATCGAAGATCCAAGGCCTTGATTTCTCTCTCTGCCTCTCTCTCTCTCTCTCAAAAGTAGCGCTGTGTTCTCTAAAGTCACGCCCCACTCTTTTTTATCAGAGACGTCCTGCCTCTTCAATGGTTTGGGATGTCCTAAAAAAGTGCATTTTTTGACTTATTAGTGGGTTTGGATTGGGTTTGATGTGATATGTTAGAGAGGTGATGTGATTTAAATAAGATGATGTGACTTAAATAAGATAGTGATTTTTTGACTTATTTAGTACATGTCAAACTTTATTTCACAATTTTTTTAATATTGGCGTACAAAACGAGATTAGTAATTAAATTTGTTCCAAATGGGAAAAAATATAAGAAATTTCACGACGTTTTTCAAAAATGTCAGAAAAGAAAAAGTGGTGATATCTTCTTTTTCTTGTAGTGAGAGAGAGATATATAGAGATAGGTTATTTGGGACTTGATTTGTGATTAGTGCTTTGTATTGTACAAATTAGTTTGATAGGGAAGGAACTGTTTGTTTGGAGCTATTTAAAAAGAAATTAAGGATGATTTATTTAGTTGATCTTCCTGCAACAAAAAAATTAAACTCACTCAAAAAAAATTATTTAACATTTTATTTGCTGTGTAATATATTTATTTAGTTGTACCATTCAAATGTAATATATTTGTTATGTGATTTTGGTTTTAATTTCATCTTTATAAAATTGAAGTCAGTTAACAAAGAGAAAGGTTCAAATTTAGACAATTTTATTGTGCTCCAGTTTTAATTTATCATTTTAATGTGACTGTTAAAAAACGTCTTTTCTAAATGCTGGTTTGACTCAGAAAATGTGAGTTTGATTATGGGTTTCGCAAAGAATGTAGAGAGAGAGAGAGGGAGAGGGGGAAGGGACTGTTTGTTTAGAGCTATTTAAAAAGAAAGTAAGGGTGATTTATTTAGTTGATCTTTCTGCAACAAACAAATTAAACTGACACTCAGAAAAATTTATTTAACATTTTATTTGCTAATATATTTATTTAGTTGTACCATTCAAATGTAATATTTATTTGCTGTGTGATTCTAATGTACAGATGAGTTTATTTATTATGTGTAATATGGCATTTTTTTGCATTTTAACATTTATGTGTAATATGGCAAGAGAGTTTATTTATTTTTATTTTTTTGCACCTTTTTTAGGGAATATAATATTTTATGTTGTATTTCAAAAATTCTGGTCAATCCTTATGTGTGTGCGTATTACTTTAGTTGTTTTCATGAAATTTTTTTTTTATTAAACTTACAAGTATTTAACTTAAGACAAGTATTTAACATAATCCGTTTTGTTTTGAATCAAATTCACCGAGTATTTAACTTAACCCAAAATAATGTATTTAACATTTTGTTATAAAAAAATTTAAAAAAAAAATTGTACCATTCTAAACAGAGAAGGCACATGCCTTTGGTATCTGTTGACCTTTTTCTTTTTCTTAGAAGTTTATATTTTTATTTATTTCTTTTCCTCTTGATTGTAATCCGTTAAGTATTTTCTACTCATGATAGTTATTTATTTAAATAAAATTTCAAATTTTATTATTCGATTTGGTAGCAACATATTTGGAAATAACATTTCATTACCAATGAAATCCATGTTAACTTTTATTATTGCTAGTTTTTTTGTTTCTTTGTGTCTAAAATTATATAACCAAACATTTTTAGGTTGAAATACAACAGTTATGAACAATATCACTATTTTTGGTCAAGTAAGTTTTTTTTCTTCTTTTTTCTTTTCATATAAATTTAAGTACCTCTCTTATAAATTTAAGTACAACAGTTATGGACAATATCACTATTCTAATTATTTTTTTACCTCATACTTTATAGGTGGATGGGGACTTACACCGAACCGTAATATCACCACCCTTTACTAATTTTCTTATTTATGTGTATAAAGTTAATGCTGTTATTCGTGATGAGCGTGACCTTAAACAACAGTTATGGAGAATATTTTTTACCTCATACTTTGTATGTATAGGTTCGATTTCTTCAAGAAAGAAATGTTAATGTTGTTATTCGCGATGAGCGTGACCTTAATACTATTCGCATTCATGAGGTAAGCCTAAAAGTCGCTTGAACATTGGACATGTATTTTCTTATCATTTTAAAAATAATTTATAAATATATTCTATTTATTTTTTACAGGCAAAGGCAAAGGAAAAAGACAAGGCAATATCAAAGGAAACAAAAAAAACTATTCCTTACGGCAAAGGAAAGGAAAATGCACATCCCACGGTATGGTTTCTCAACAATTTTTAAAAGTTTCTTTTTCGAATATTATATAGATTTTTTTAGGAATTGCATAGTGTCATATACTATTTTTTATGTACATTTTTCAAAAGCCATGTTCTGCATACCAATTGGGACAACGCCTGCGACGAGAATGAGAAAGATAAAGATCGAAGGAATGTATTAACTCAAGACAACCTTCTTTAACACCAAATTGGTAAAACGAAAAAGATTTTTTTACCCAAGACAATCTTAAATTTTTTACCCTTACTATTACCACTTTATTATATAGCTTTTAATTTGTTCACAATCTATTTTTGTAGACTTCCTCCTACAACTCCATGTAGAAATGTTGGTGTGGTCATCCGTGATGACCACGACCTTAATGTTATCTGTGTTTGTGCGGTAAGTACAAAATCAAGTCAAACATTGTATGCATTTTATTTATATAAGATTATATAAGATTTTTTTAATCTCTTCAATATTTTATTTATATTTGTTAGGCAAAAGATAAAGAAAAGGTCAACTCAATGTCTAAAGGAAAAGAAAAGATGGCTCCTTCCAGCAAGAGAATGACAAATGCATGTCAAGTGATATATATTCTTTTTTAAAAATATGATGCAAAACTAATCAAAATTTTGAATAGTTAAAATAATGAGTGTGTAAAATGAATTTATTGTTTTATGTTGTTTTTGTAGAATGATTGTAATATGTTTTCCTGTAACTTGCTATTATTTGTATGTATTTTTCAAATTTATTTATTCTTATTTTGCATGGATACATGTGCATTTATAATGTACCATCCATAAGTTGCTACTTATATAAAGAGAATAGGAAAAAAGAAACGAAGAAATAAAGAAAAAATATATAAAGAAAGGAGAAACTAAATAAGATAGGTTTTTAATTCTTATTTAATATATAAAATAGAAAACAAAGAAAGGGAAAGGGAAAGTGAAGAAATAAGAAGATAGAAAGGGAAGAAATAAGAAAAAAAGAAATAAAGATAACACTATTAAAAGTATAAAACAAATAAAATATAAAACAAAATTAAGAGAAAGGGAAGAAATAAGAAAAAAAGAAATAAAGATAACACTATTAAAAGTATAAAACAAATAAAATATAAAACAAAATTAAGAGAAAGGGAAGAAATAAGAAAAAAAGAAATAAAGATAACACTATTAAAAGTATAAAACAAATAAAATATAAAACAAAATTAAGAGAAAGGGAAGAAATAAGAAAAAAAGAAATAAAGATAACACTATTAAAAGTATAAAACAATCTCAGTCGGCACAAAAACGAACAATGGTTACCCATCATTTTACATGTTCGTTTTCTATGCCAAGCACATCTTCAAATTCACAAAGGAATCGGTAAACTACTATGTCTAATCTTGAAATACATACTTTTACTCATACCGTTTTGTTTTACAAAATCTTATTTATACACAAATATTCGTAGGTCTACTCCTATAAATCGATTTTTTCAACAAGATCTATGTACTGATGATGAATTAGAAGATCTACCTACGAGTATATCAATTGGCACCTGGGCACACAAAGATTCTTGCCGCCATTATCTTGGCAAGATGGATGTATTATGTCCTTATTGTTCAGCCTTACATTGGATGGATGAAAAATTGACAAAATCATCTATAAAGCGTCCCTTATTCGGAACTTGCTGTTTGGAAGGAAAGATTAGGCTACCTTTACTTGTTACACCCCCTCCACCACTTCAGGCATTGTATGATGGGAATAATGATCAATCAAAATCCTTTCGAAGTTATACTCGAGTGTACAATGCAGCCAATGCTTTTACGAGTCTTGGTGCTACATTGGATCATATAGTACTCAGTGGAAGGGGCCCTACATCATTCACAATTCATGGGGAATTGCGACATCGAACAAGATCACTACAACCACAACCAGGGCAGGATGCGAGTTATCCTCAGCTGTATATTTATAACCCTTATTCAGCTTTAGAAATTCGTAATCGTAGAAATCGTAACTTGAGAAGGGATGTTCTCAAAACTATTCAGGATAGTTTGTTGCAAGTTAATGCATTTGTGGATAAATATCGCCAGGCTCGTGCCATTTTACATCAATTAGACTCAGCAGGACATAATCTACCTGCTCATCTTCATTACAGTTCAACAATTGATCGACGTCGGTATAATCTACCAACTACAGATGAGATTGCAATTGTAATACCAGGTGATGGAACAGAGGTAAACGGAATGAGAGATATTATTTTACATTTCTGAGGAAATAATGAGTTGATGCAAATTAATGAATGTCACCCAGCATACTTGCCATTACATTATGTTCTATTATTTCCATATGGTGAGCTTGGATGGGAACTTGAGTTGAAATTGTAGAATGTTCAGTATGATCGACCTTCAACTAATTGACTTACTCAAATGAATTTTTATAGTTATCGTTTGTTTGAACGACCCACAGAGTATTCAACAATTTTGAGAGGTGGAAACTATTTCAAGAGTTTTTGGTAGATGCTTGGGCTACAACTGAGCAAAATCGATTGACATACTACAAGCTTAATCAAGGGAAACTTCGGGCTGAGCTTTACCAAGAGTTGTCAGATATGGATCCAGATTATGTGCGACCTGGACAAATTGGTCAAAGGTTTGTTTTGCCATCTTCATTTACTGGTGGTCCTAGACATATGTTTGAAATATTTCAAGATTCAATGGCTATCACACGATACAACCAACACCCAGATATTTTTCTTACCATGACTGCAAATCCTAATTGGCCAGAAATTACTTCAGCATTATTACCATATCAAAAACCTATTGATCGTCCTGATTTAATTGCCCGTGTTTTTGAGTTGAAGAGAAAATGTTTGATGGAGGAGATAGAAACAAATAAAGTGTTTGGAAATAAAGTTGCACATGTTTTTACAATTGAATTTCAAAAACGAGGCCTCCCTCATATGCATGCACTTTTATTTCTTAAGGGTTCAGACAAAATTCAGACATGTGCTCAAGTAGACAAATTGGTTTGTGCAGAATTTCCAGACCAAAAAGATGGTTCTATGCTTTTTGAAACTATCAAATGTTGTATGGTACATGGACCATGTGGTGCTCGAAATCCGCAAGCACCATGTATGGAAAATGGTAGATGCACTAAGAGATACCCTCGAGCTTTCACAGAAACAACAACTATGGATCAAGATGGATACCCTATCTATCGTCGTCGCACATACTGTGAGAGGGCAAGAAGTTGATAACAGGGATGTCATACCATACAATGCATATCTTTCAAAACTTTTCAACTGTTATATAAATGTGGAAGTTTGTGCCGGAATGAGATGTGTCAAGTATATACATAAGTACATTTATAAGGGTTATGATCGTACAACGATGGTTTTAGGAATGATAAATGAGATTCAACAATATCTCGATGCAAGGTATATTGGATCTCTAGAAGCTGCTTGGCGAATATTTGGTCATCCTTTGCATGCAGAGATGCCAACAGTTGTACGATTGTCACTTCATTTACCTGGAATGCATCGTGTTATTTTTAACCCAGGAGAGTCATTACAAACGATTCAATCTAGAGCTGGTCAACAAATGTCAACTCTTACTGGCTTCTTTGCATATTGTGCTGCCAGTGAAGATGAATGTCCATTCACTTATCAAGAATTTCCACAGCATTTTGTTTGGCTCAAGTCAGAAAAGAGATGGAAATCAAGAGAAAGGGGATATGCAATTGGTAGAATGTACTTTGCTAGCCCTAATTGTGGTGAAAGATTTTATCTACGTTTGTTACTAACCGTTGTCAAAGGACCAAAGTCGTTTCAGTCTTTACGCACAGGCGATAATGTTGTGCATGATACATTTAAATTAGCATGTATTGCAAGGGGACTTTTAGAAGATGATAAAGAATGGATACAATGCTTGAAAGAGGCTGCAGTCACAAAAACTGGATATCAATTGAGGAGATTGTTTAGTATTATTCTTACCAGTGCTCTCCACTAAATCCATGTGCATTATGGAATCAATTTTCAACGCATATATGTGATGATCTTGCACATAAGATTTGTACATTGTTTGTCATTTCTAAACCAACTGAGGCTCAAATTGAAGATTATGGTCTCCATCTTTTGAATCAAATGCTTCATGAATCAGGCAAAAGTTTAATTGACTTCCCACCCATGCCACAACCTACTGCAAATTGGAGTGCAGTAGTTGGCAATCGATTGATAGTTGAACATCAACAACTACAGAGTGAGGCACAGCATGCAGATCCACAAATTACTAATGATTGTCTCAATAATGGACAGCGGAATGCTTATAATACAATCACTTTTTCAGGTTTTCAAAATAAAGGAACTATTTTCTTTCTGAATGGGGGTGCAGGAACAAGGAAAACATTTCTATACAATACGATTGCATTAAAATGTCGTAGCCTTGGGCATATCGTTGTTATTGTGGCTTCGTCTGGAATTGCATCACTGTTACTGGTAGGAGGTCGTACTGCACATTCAACATTTTCCATTCCGTTAGATGTCTTGGAAAATTCACTTTGTGGGTTTAGCAAACAATCATTACAAGTTGAGTTATTTAGAAAAACAAAACTCATAATTTGGGATGAAGTTCCTATGCAACATAGACATTGTGTTGAGGCCGTTGATCGTACATTGAGGGACATTTGTGATAGTGAAAAGCCATTTGGGGGTATTACTGTTGTTCTTGGAGGAGACTTTCAACAAATATTACCAGTTATACCCAAAGGAGTTCGTGAGCAAATTGTGAATGTATCATTAAGACACTCTGTTTTATGGAAGCATATATATATCTTGACTTTGGATTTGAATATGCGCTTGAATCATGAAGGCCATGAAAATGCTAATTTTGCAAATTTCTTGATGGAGGTAACACTACTTTAACTTGTATTATATAGATTTTAAATTAATAAATTGTGTTTACATTTACTTTTTTTTATTAATTTT